ACATCCAGACATTCTGTGCCCCGTGATGGGAGCACACACCACCACCTGTGACGTAGTCTAACCCCAGATTGAACCTGAATCTGGTCACGCCTCTAGATCCAACTCCAATTTATAGCACAAAGGAACACTTTAAATGGCACTACAGGTATATCATCAGTCAACTCCAGACTGTAAGAACCTCTGCAGGACAGATGAGGGGAGGAGAGAAGATATGCAAGGGGAACGTGTTGATTAAAATAGACTTAAAAGGCATGTCAGCCAATCACAATGTGTGGACTTGATGTGGCTCCTGATTTTATTATTATTACTTATTTATTTATTTTTAATATTTGTTGTGTTTCTGTGAGTCCGGAATCAAGGTGTGTCTCTCATAGGTTGTAATCAAGTTATTTATTTATTTATTTGGCTGTGTTGGGTCTTCATTGCTGCGCGTGGGCTTTCTCTAGTTGCGGAGAGCGGGGGTTTCTTTTTTGTGTGTTGCGTGAGCTTCTAGGTGTGGTGGCTTTTCTTGTTGCAGAGCACAGGGTCTAGAAGTGTGGGCTTCAGTAGTTGTGGCTGACAGGCTCTAGAGCGCAGGCTCAGTATGTGTGGTGCACGGGCTTAGTTGCTCTGCGACATGTGGGATCTTCCCAGACCAGGGCTCAAACCCGTGTCCCCTGCATTGGCAGGCGGATTCTTAACCACTGTGCCACCAGGGAGGTCACGTGGCTCCTGATTTTAAACAGATAACTTGTAAACAAACATTCATAACATTTATAACATAATTGGATATACCAATAAAAACAATTCAAATTTGAACATGGATAAAATATTTGATGACAAGTAAGAAAATCTTACTAAATTTTTCAGCTCTGATAATAGTATTATCATTATATTTTTTAAAGAAAAAAGAGTATCTTTTAGAGACACATTAAAATATTTACAGGGCTTCCCTGGTGGCGCAGTGGTTAAGAATCCGCCTGCCAGTGCAGGGGACGCGGGTTCGAGCCCTGGCCCGGGAAGATCCCACATGCTGCGGAGCAACTAAGCCCGTGCGCCACTCATACTGAGCCTGCGCTCTAGAGCCCACGAGCTACAACTACTGAGCCCATGTGCCACAACTACTGAAGCCTGCGTGCCTAGAGCCCATGCTCCAAAACAAGAGAAGCCACCATGGTGAGAAGCCTGCACACTGCAAGGAAGAGTAGCTCCTGCTCGCTGCAACTAGAGAAAAAAGCCCGCACGCAGCAACGAAGACCCAACGCAGCAAAAAAAAAAAAAAAAATTACAAATGAATTAATATGATCTTCAATTTGCTTTTTCTCACAACTTCTTTTTAATTCATCTGTATTTGTTACAACTTTTAAAGGAGGATGTGACTTGAGCACTACATTTCCATTCACAAAACTTACTCTCAGTTACTTTTCAAACAGCTTTACAACATGCCTAGGTAGGCTTATAATCTTGCTACTCTAAACAATACTTTTCTTTGGAAAACAAGCCCTATGTATGGATAGTGACTCCCATCAAGTTGTTCAGTTTAACACACTAATTTCTAGAGGCCTGGCACATGCAGTTGATAACTACAGGGGATAGAAGTTTTAAAAAGTAGATCCCAGAAGATGAAAAGTTGCTTTAACTAATATTTTTCTTTTAAACATCAAGGTATATGCTTCAGAACATTTCAGTGACAAAAGATTTGGTCTACTAAAGAATCCGCTTGATAGCTAGACACTTCAGACCACGAAGTTAACATAGGTTACATACACCTTACAACAAACGCTACTTCCGTCTGTTAAAATAAAATTCCATCTGTTAAAATGCCAATATGAAACTAGAAGAACTAGCTGTGCTTTAATGCCTAAAGTATCACAGTATCACACTTAGTAGAAAGAAATCTTATCTTCCCCTTAAGTAGTTGTCAAGCCATACAGATTTTTAAATGTAACAAAAAAATACCTGAAAACATATTATCAGAGGGAATGAAGACAGTGTTGAACACGTAGCCAATGTGCATCACAATAGGACAGCGAGGAAGTTGAATATGCATGTAGGTGAAACAAGATCATAAATTGGTCATAAATTGGTAATTGTTGAATCTCATTATATTGATACTACTTACTATTTTCAGTACTTTATTTTTGCCTTTTTAAAAACAGCGTTAGGGCTTCCCTGGTGGTGTAGTAGTTGGGAATCCGCCTGCCGATGCAGGAGACACAGGTTTGAGCCCTGATCCGGGAAGATCCCACATGCCGCGGAGCAACTAAGCCTGTGCGCCACAACTACTGAGCCTGCTCTTTAGAGCCCGTGAGCCACTACTGAGCCCATGTGCCACAACTACGGAAGCCCGCACGCCTAGAGCCCGTGCTCCGCAACAAGAGAAGCCACCGCAATGAGAAGCCCAGGCACCGCAATGAAGAGTAGCCCCCACTTGCCACAACCAGAGAAAAGCCCACGTGCAGCAATGAAGACACAACGCAGCCAAAAATAAAATAAATAAAATAAATTTATAAAAATAATTAATTAAAACAGCTTTATGAGGAGTAACTTACATGTCAATAAAATCTGCCGTTTGTAAGTGTACCATTTAATATTTTGTAAATTTATAGAGTTGTGCAATCTTCACTACAGTCCAGTTTTCGAATATCTCCATTACCCCAAAAGATTTCCTTGGGCCCTACCCTGCAGTCAGTTCCCACTCGCACCCCAGCCCTCCACTGCTCTGCTTTCTGTATCTCTAAATATGCCCTTTCTGGACATTTCACTTAAGTACAATCATGCAATAGATAGTCTTCTGCTGCTCCCTTTACTGTTATACAAGTTGGATACACTGACCTGCCCACCACCGTTGCTCCCCCAACCCATCACTTAGTGCCCTGTCCCTCCAACTCAGGCCTCTCTGCATTGAGGCAAGGATCTGAGCTGCCAGCCATGGCTGGCTCTGCATCCTCACCCAACTCAACTGTGGACACAGAACCAATCGCAGGGCTTTATATCGCATTTAGAGAAACAGACAAAATATCTCTCTCCTCTTTCTCCTTCAGCCTGAGGTGGGGATGCTAGGCACATCAGAAGTGTGGGAGCTAAGGAGACGGAGGCCGGCTTATTTTCTTGAAGACACCGAGGCAGAAACAAGGTGCTCTGTGTCTATATGTGCACGTGTGTTCCTCACCTGTGGCGAGAACCAGAGGACGGCATGACCGAGGGTAGGGAGAGTGAAGGAAGTTGCCTCTCAAGGCCTCTGGCACCTGAGGCCAGCCTCCTAAGTATGCACCTGTGGCTGTGTGTGCGAAGGTGCTGAGAGCACTAGTGCACAGCTGTGCACACACGTTTGCCCCATGGTTCATGTATCTTCGGAGCTGGGCCCATCAGAGGACAGAGATAGCCTAAGATGTCTTTGCCTTCTCTTTGTGTCTTTGCATTTAAAAAAAAATGGTTATTGTGTCTGCTCTGTCACCCCATGCTTTGATATTTTATAGTTAATCAGGAAGGATTCAGAAGAAACCTCCGATGATGCGCTCCTCTGGGGAATGGGATTGGGGTCTCAGGTCTCCCTTTCCACTGTGTACTCTCTCATTCCCCTTGAAGTTTTTGTCCTATATTTGTGTAATTTTCAAAATAAAATGAGGGAGAAATCATTGTTATTACCAGTGAGCCATGGTGTGTTTGCCTGGCTCCCTGCAGACTCTGCTTCTATTAGCTTAGTCTAGGGCTGAGCAGATTACAAAGTGCTATCAAATGCAGCTGCTCATTTAATCCACTCATTCATTCAACACATATTTGGTAAGTGTTTCCTATGTGCCAGGCACAGTTTTAGAAGCTAGGGATAAAAAAACAGAGAAAAATGCCTGCCCTTCTGGGGACTTACATTCTACTGAGTGTAGAAAGACATACAACAAAATTAATCAGTTATATGGTAATGAGAGGAGAAAAGACAAGGCACAGGAGGGTGATAGGGATGGGAGGCTGCCATATTGAAGAGGGTGGTCAGGGAAGGTGACCTGAACAGACTTGGAGGAGGTAAGGGAGTGACCAGGGAGCTCTCTGGGAGAAAAGGGCTCCAGAGAACAGCAAATGCAAAGGATCGGAGGCAAGAGCATGTCCAGCTTGCTTGAGGAAGAGCCAGAAAGGCAACGTAGCTGCAAAACACCCAGTGAGAGTAATGGAGCTGGGATGAGAGAGGCAAGCGGCCCCCAGGTCCCGTGGGGCTGGTGGGCCACTGCAGGGGGTTGGGGTTTTACCCCAAGTGAGGTGGGAGCCGTTGGAGGGTTTGGCTGAGGAGGACATGACCTAACGAATATGTTCACAGGGTTCCCCCGCTGGAGACCAGACTGTGTAGCAGGGAAGTGAGGTGACCCTGAGGAGGCTGTTGAGAGAGGTGGTGGAGGTGTAACCACGCAGGACCTTATGGGGTCTTCCCGGGACAGACCCCGCTCCCATATCCTCTGCTCTAGCTGCTCTCTGAAGTGCCTATAGGTAACGGTATCAGCACATTTTCTGAGCTGTTGGGCAGATGCTCAAACCACCACCAAATGGAAGAAATTAACCACCTGATGACCATGAGCTCGTAGCCCCCAGACCTGAGGGAACCTGAGGATTGATAATGTTCACCCCCGTGACACGGCCCGTTACCTCACCATCAACCAGTCAGAGAATTGTGCTCGAGTTAATCTCCTACCCTGGGACTCCCCTCCCTCGCCTGGCCTTTAAAAATGCTTTCCTGAACCCCAAAGGGGAGTTTGGGTTTTTTGAACGCTCCTGTCCTGAACTCCTTGCTTGGAGCCCTGCCGTAATCGCTGCCCTTTCCTGCACCACAACCAGGTGTCTGCAGAGAGGCTTTACTGGGGGCGGGGGGGGGGGGCGACCCAAGGTTGGTTCCCCAACAGGTGGGCGTCAGAGTCTGTATTTATTTGGAAAGGAGAAGCCACCCATAGAGGTTGCCGATAGATTGGAGGTAGGGTTTGGTGGAAAGAGAAGAGTCAAAACTGATTCCAAGCTTTGGGAGCTGAGGAGGTGGGAGGATGAAGTTGCCTTTGGCAGAGACGCGGTGGCCTGGGGGCGGCGGGGAGCAGTGTATAAGATCGGGAGGACCCCGCCTTCTGCCTGGACAAGTTAAAGAATTCCGGGAGGCAGTGGCTTCACACACGTGGGTACAGTTGACGTCTCCATTTCACAAGTGTGTACACTCCTGCACCGGAGCCCCCCGGGCTGGCCGCATCACGTGCCGTAGGCGGGCGCCCCCTGGCGCGGGGAGGGAAGTGCGGCGGCTGCGGCCGGAGCGCGCGGAGCCGGGCCGCCCCTCCTTGTACTTCGGCGGGAGCATCCCCGGCGGACGCGAGGACCGGGAGCTGTACGGGCGGATCGTGTCGCGGCTGCGGCGCTTTGGGGCGGAGCTCACCGAGCACTTGGCGGCCGCCGATCAGGGCGCGGGCGGTGAGGCTGCCGGGGCGCGGGGCGCGGACGGCCGGGAGGGCGAGGACAGGTCCGCCTCCTCGGCCCAGGCCCGCTCTCTTGCGGGGAAGCTCCCGGCAGGGCCCCTCCCCTGCCCGATAAGGAAAGGCTGCCCGCGTGCGTCCGACCTGTGAGCCCACTCTCCGCATTCAGTTACTATCTTGACCTTTGGGTCTTTGGAAAACTTTGTCGGGCTCTTTCCGGAGGCGTTTGTAGAGAGGAGCAGAACGGGAGTGGGCCGGGCTGCTTCAGCGAGATGCCTCACCCGCTGGCATCTCTCCCACCTAGGACTAAAGCTTTCCCTCCTGCTACCCCTCTTTGGGCCGAGGTATCAGCCCTCCCTCAGACCCGACAGACCCCAGCTCCCGCGACCACCGTCTCTCTCAGGCTCTCTGATCAGACTGTTACCAGTATGTGCTGCTCCTGTGGCGTGATTGGCCCGGAATCTGGCTGACTTTCTAGAAATGGTGCCAGAACTCTTGTACTTCTCAGAAAACCTTAAGTGTTTTCCCCTTTCCCCACCAGGGGCAGATCTAGGATCTGAGGGACCCAATGCAATTCTGGGCAACCTCTTTAAAGAGACGAAATCACAAATCACAATTGCTGGGGCTTTTGGAAGGGCCTGTGCAAGCCAGGGACCCTGAAGCTTAAGTCTTTTCGGTTTCAGGGTCTGTGCCCCCCTGCCTGGGCTCCCCTGTGCCCCCCTGCCTGGTGGCTCTCCAACTTTACTGTGCTCAACAATCATCTGCGGGAGCATGGTGAAAATGCAGATTCTGGGATAAAGCCTTAGAGTCTGTTTTGAAGAAGTTCTCCAGTTATTCTGCTCTGATCTGGGGGGCTGTGAGCCTCGTGCTCCTAGTGGATTTTAATCAAGCTGGAAAGCTGGGCTCCTTGCCCTGTGACCCCAGCGCCTCTCCTGCCTTGCTTGCCAACACCCCTACTGGTTACACTCTGCATTCCAGCACTGGTTCTCAAACTTACCTGGCTATGAGAATCACCTGGAGGTCGGCCTGGGCTCATCGACACCTGGGTCTTTGTAGTTTGGTCAGGTTCTTGGGTGGTTCTCATACCCAGCACAGTTTGAGAGCCTATGAGGCCCTAGTTTCCCTGCACGGGGCCAGCCTCTTGCTACTGCCTGCCTTTCCCCCACCTGGGATGCGATTCCTCCTTCTCTCCACCCCAATCACGGACCCACAGTGAATTAGTCCTTCCTTCCCTTCATCTCATCTGTATCACTCCCCTGGCCCTAATCACACATCCCCCTGCACAGGAGTAAATTTTTCTTTCGGGCTGTTTCATTTCCTCACTCATTTTCATGGAATCTTAGTGTTGGGTGGGCCCTTGGAGCTCATCTCTTCTGTCTCCCCGCTTCCATGAGCAGGGTGTGGCTGGGCAGGGGGTCGACATCAGAGGAGAGGAACTGAGGACCAGGGCGGGCCCTTGACCAGCTTTCCCTCAACCACAGGAGAAGAGGCTGCTGGGGGCGACAGGCTCATCCATGAGCAGGACCCGGCCTGGCTGCAGCAGGCAGAGGGTGAGTGGCGCCCCCCTCTGCCTGCAAACTCCCCTGGGGTCTTAGATCCCCTGGACACGCCTGGCCTCCCCACCTAGAAGGGACTTTCTAGAGCTCCCTCCCCACTACAGCCAGACTCTCATGTCTCCCTTACAAACCCAAGTGAGCCTTGGTCTCCTCTTTCTTCCCAGTGGTTGTGTAGAAGTGGCCCAGCCCTCTCTGGGTATAGGCTACGAGCTGGACCGGGCCGTGGCCCGCAGTAAACCAGTCCTGTGCCTGTTCCGCCCGCAGTCTGACCGAAGTGAGCACCCCCAGCCCTGGGTGGCCGCCCCTGCCTCCCTCTCCGGCTCTCTGAGGACCCCACCCTCCGCTCCTTCCCACCCAAAAAGGGACAGGAAAGGGAGGGGAGGGGGGAGTGTGGGAGGCAGCCACCTTCACCTCCCTCCTCCTTCCCAGTGCTCTCGGCCACGATCCGGGGAGCAGCCGAAGGCTCGCAGGTCCAGGTGTGGGGCTACGAGGCGGCAGAGGCAGCGGATCCTCCTGAGCGGTGGCTGCTCCCCTGACCCCACCACTTGACTTCACCCCAGCTTATTAAATTCTCCTGACCCCAGACTTGCTCTAGTACCATTCCTACCCCTTAGCCCCAGTACCAGATTCATGGCACGTTTACAATTCTAACTTTCCGTCTGTGTGAGAGTGGGGTGGGGGCAGGTCCCCCATAATATCCTCTTAACACCCCACTTCACTTCAAGATGTAGAGACCCTTTAAAGATCTACAGACCCCCAAGACGAGGATACTTCCTAACGCCCTCAAGCTCCCCCCAGGAACACTCAGGAGTGTGGAGGAAGCTGATCGATCATGGGAGTGGCCATTCCTCTCTGTCTCTGATGCAGGGCTGGGTCTGGGGCAAGTGGGCCAGCCTGTACCTGGCCCTGTTATCACGTGGACCTTTATTTCCCTTTATCGGTGTAAGTCACACAGGTCCGCCGTGGGCTTTCTCTGAGGATGGAAGTCTGGACGCCTGAAGAAAAGAGTAAAGGAGGAGGAGGGCTGGGTGTGTGCGATGGAGGGGGAAGTTGAAGTGGCCCATTGAGGAAGCTGTCTGGTCTGCTTCCAGAGAAGTATATGAAAAAAAGAAGTTTATTCAGTGAACAGAAGACGGTGCCACAGACACTGGTAACCGCCTACCCTCACGACAGGGGGAAGGGTGCACTCCTGAGCCCGTGGCCCCAGGACTCTGGCGGCTCCAGCGCTCCCTGCATCCTACCCCTCAATCGTAGCCCTCGTCGTCTTCCTCCTCGTCGCCAAAGAAGAAAGTCTCTCGGTCCAGGTTCTCAGACTCCTCATCATAGGAGAAGCTGTCATTGTCCAGCTCCTCTTCAAACTCATCCTGCTGCCACTCAGGCACATCGTCCTCGTCGTCGTCCTCCTCCTCCTCCTCCACCTGCAGCCCCGAGGAGCCCTGGGGCCTGGGAGAGCGCCACGCTCAGCCCCAGAGGAAGCCTAGCGCCTCCCACGCCCCCTCCGTGGCTCTGCCCCCTCCACTCACTGACTGCCGGGCACGTTGGATCCTTTCGCCTCCCAGGCCTCTGATGATGGGCTCTGGAGACCAACCCGGAAATCCTGGAAAGGAAACGGGAGGATGCGGGGAGCAGGAGAGTAGAGGACACAGGGCCTCTGTGCCCAGGCTCGCTTCACCCAGCGTCCTCTGAGGCCCAAGGGGGGCCCGGCCCCTGCCAGGAATGCCCCCCGCTCAGCACCGCCCTCCACAAGCCACTGCCTCTGTGTAATGTGACTCAGAGGTGGTCTCCAGGGACCCAGGATGCTGCGGTGAGGCACCACCCCCACTTCCCATGTATGTTCATGCCTTTTCTGCCCAAGTTACTACCAGTCCGCAAGCTCCCTGAGGGTGGGATTCCTAGTTTAGACTCGACAGCAGAGTGTTAGAGCAGAAAGAACCTCAGATCCCCTATTCTAGTGGATGCCAGTCCCTTGCCCCAAGTCCCAGGATTCTAAATCCCTATCTGCGAAGAATCTTCTGAAGAAGCTCTCCAAGTGATTCTGGGGAGCAAGCAACTGGCCAAATACTCTTGATCTGGGATAACCAACTCCATTTTCCAGGAAACGCCCGGTGGCTAAGGGGCAGGCCTGGGAGCTGGGATGAACGCCAGGTCCATTTGCCTTTGACGCCTTTCCTTCAGGATCCCCCAGGGCGGCCGGGCCGGGTGGGCGGCTACCTGGGTGGAGTGCTGCAGGATGGCCAGCAGCCGCTCCTGGATCCGCCGCAGCAGCTCCAGGCCCATGCTGAGGTGCTCCGCCCGCAGGAGGCGCAGCGAGGAGCCCAGGTCTCTGCAGCGCAGCAGGGTCTCTTCTGCAGAGGGGGCAGGGCACGGGGGCTCCCTCCCTTCTTCCCGTCCTTCCACAGATGCATACTGGACGCCCACTATGTGCCACCCACGTCTACTGGGGCCTAGCGCCTAGAGGTGGGGACGGGTCGTAACCAAAGCAAAGGTCGGGTGAAGGGCTGTGTACTGTGTACCTGAGGACCGGAACTTTGTAACAGTGATAAGGCTATGAAGGACAGGAAGGGGACAGAATAAAGGTGGGCAGCTGGCTCTGGTCACCCACCCGTTTGTGTGTCGGGGGTGGGTGCTGGGGGAGAGGGGGCAGGAGAGAGCACTGAGTGGGCAGGGGGCTCACCCAGGAGGATCTGCAGGGCGTTGGTGTGCAGCTCCAGGGCCTCGGTCTGCTGTTCCACCACGTCCATGTGCTCTGTGTCCTGGTTGTAGAAGCTGTACACGCAGGCGTAGGCCAGCACCTGCGGAGCCCAGGCCGCCGATCCCGCTGAGGCCGCCTCCCGCCAGCTTCTTCCTCCCTCTCCCAGCCCACCAGACCCCTGGGCACATCATCCCCCCCGCCCCGCCCCGCCCCACACCTTTCGAGCTTGCTCGAGACCCCGGCAGGCGTCGCTGAGGAAGGTGAAGGATCTGGGCGGGGGCACCTCGTGGATGGCAGACACGCGGTTCTGCAAGTTCACAGCAAAGTCCTGCGCAGGGAAGGTGGTCAGTGCCAGCACGCGCAGCCCCACCCAGTCAGGAAAGCACTCGTCCCGTTGGGACCTCTAGCCTCTGCCCGGCCGTCTGGCCCAGCCCTCTGACCTCCTCACCGACCCAGCCGTCTCCCCCGCTGCTCACCCGGGCCCGGTGATGGAAAGTACACCTCTCGTTATAGTCCTGGAACCGCTTCTCCTGGCGAGCTGCTTTGCTCACCTGGTAAAGACAGGTCGAGATGGCTGTCGGGTACTTGGCAGGACAGGATGAGGTTAATAATCAGACCAACTGCCATTCATGGAGGCCTTCTGATGCTTTACCCAGGTTTTCTCACTCAATTCTCGTAACTGTGAGGTAGGTCAGACTACCATCCCCTTTTACAGATAAGGGCGCTGAGGCCTGGACAGGTTAACTGAGTACACAGTGGGGCCAGGCTCTGACAGAGTCCTTGCTCTGCTCTGGGCTGGTGCTTCCTGGGAGCGCCCAGCCCGCCCCGGCCTCCTGTAGCCACCTCGGTGTAAGACGTCTGACTCCGGAGCTGAAGGTCTTCATGCACAGACCTCCCAAGATAGAACTCTCAGCACCCGTAGGCCCAGGTGGCTTCTGTCTTCTCCCCACTGAGCCTTCGCCCCAACAGCTGTTCGGCTGCTTGGGACACAGAGATGTCTGTGCCCAGGCCCTGCAGCAGCATCTCGTCCTCACTGCCCTTGGGCCTCTGCCCCTCCTTCCGGCGCCGGCCCCTTACCATGGCAGAGCAGTTGTAATAGTCTTTGTGATTTGGCTTCCAGGACTTGAGGCAGCGCCAGCAGAATCCATGGTTGCATTTGGCACAAGTCATGCTGTGGAGGAAGCTAGCTGGTCAGAGGGCTCCTGCCTCTGGCCAGGGCCACACCAGGAATGCCCAGGGCCTGGACTCACCACTGAAGATGCCCTGGTCCCCCTCATGCCCTCTTAGTCTCCTTCACCTGACCAATCCTTACTGACCACACCCTGGCTTCTGAATTCCCCTATACAGCGTGGGCTTCAAAGTGGGGGAAGGAACACTCAGATCCAGGGAACAGTCTGGAGGGTGCAGCGAAGGTGGCTGAGTAACTGCCCTTGTTTGCTGAGCTTTCGGGTAGGCCCACTGCCCCTTCCTTCCTCCAGGCCTCCCACCCTCTCCCATGCTCCCCGACCCTGCCGGTGCCCACAGTACCCCCTTCTTACTGCAGACACCCCTCGTTCTTCTCGATGGGAGCCTGACAGCTGGGACAGCGCTTGGAGATGAGCTTGGCCAGATGCTTGCTCTGGGCCTCCACGCTCATGCCATCGTAGTAGCCACCATCGTCCACCCACTGAGACATGTGGCCACAGCTGGCAGGGTAGTGTGCCTAGAGCAGGAGGGGCAGTGAGGACGCAGCCCACCCCTTACTGCAGGGAGGGAGGGGGAGGTCAGGTCTGGAGGACGGCAGTGTGGGGAAGACAGGGAAGAGTCCTTGTGGGTGGCAGGGAGAGGTGCGGATCCCGGCTCCAGGGCAGAGCCAGGGTGGGCACCCACCTCAGGGAAGCTACAGTTGAAGCAGGAGGCCCAGCCACACTTGGAGCAGCTGGTCCCACAGCCCAGGCCCTGGCGGCACAGGATGCGGTCGCAGCCCTGGGGGTTGGTGCACCAGGTCAGGTTGGCACAGCTCTCCACGTAGCCACGCAGGAGGGCCTTCTCGTACTGTGGGGACGCAGGTGCCACGAGGTGAGGGCCTGGCTCTCCGGATGCCACACCTCCGGGCCCCCCCCACCCCCACCCTCCCACCCCCACCCGGCACACTGCATGTCAGCCCACTCCCTGGGGCTGTGCACTGGAGCCTCTCCGAGGAGGCGGTACCTTGGAGATGACCTCTGGCGAGGAGATGATGGTGCGGATGAAGGCCCCCGTGGGCTGGGCGGGGCAGTCGGCAATGGGGCAGGTGCAGTTCAGCACAAGGTTCTGCTCAATTCGAGTTGTCAGGTACTCCTTCCAGCAAGACTGGGTGGGACACAGGAGCAGCCGCTCAGGGGCAGCGCGGGAGCAGCACAAGTGTGACTCACCTAGCACCCCTCCCCGACGGCGCACGAGGCCAGAGACAAGCCTGCTTCTACGTCAACCCGGAAACTGACCCTAAGCTTTCCGGCCTCCATGAGTCTTCCTGAGATTGGCCCAAATTACAGTTCACTTTGAGGATGTGCAGGCCATGGTAATGTAATTATAATTATTGTTGGGATGGATGTGAAGGGAATGGGAAAAGAGAATCAGGAAAAAGGAGAAGATTCAAGTTCTAAGAAAGATTTGGAGACAGCAAGGTCAGAGAGAAAGGAGGCCTGGGGGGCTGGCCAGGGTCACTGCGCCGCAGCTGCAGCCTCGCCTCCCGGCTCCACTGCTCACCTCAGTGCCTGTCTCGATGATCCCGCTTCCCCAGACTCAGCCTCCTCCACAAAGCAGCCTTGCCAGCTGCACCCCCAAATCCTAATCAGCCACCCCACCGCTCCCCCAGTCCCCAGTGCTGGAACTGTCACAACTCCTGAATTTTTTTCTTGCTTCCACGTCACTGCCCCCGCCAACCCAGGCCATCATCCCCTCACCCCTCAACTGCCGCAGGAGCCGGTCCCATCAGTGCGCTTCCTTCCCCCATCGCTCCTGAAACCATGAGCACCTGAGCCTCCAGAAGACTCCATTAACGACCCTTTCCCTCACATAGCCAATGGCCGAGCTTCCCCAAATGACGCGTCCAACCCCTGGAGAGTCCCCCAGCTGGTTTCAAAGCTCCAGGATAAGTAAGAAACACTTCACCGGACTATTTTCACTCAAAGTACTAAACAAAACCAATCCCTTCTATAGTGAAACAAGCCCAGATAAACTGGGAAGTTGAATGCAAAATTCTTGCATTTTTGAGATCATACAGGGGAAATTTCTCCAAATTCAGACCCCCACGCTTGCAAGCACACAGGCCATGAGGGCCCCTCACCACCATGGGGTGGGAGCCCTGCCCTGTAGGACGAAGGCCAGCATCTCAGTT